TCCCACGCCCTAACATAAAGCCAGGGTAACCAATGAGTAAAGTTCTGATTATTTTCCAGGATGGGGAGCATCGCCACTGGGGCCAAAATTTACCAGGAAGCACAAGTCCAGCACGAGAACCTGACCTCTTTCATTTTGGCGATGATCACATTTGGAGTATTCCGGGATTCGCTCATGTGTGGTTTCTGGAGGTTGCTGGACAGACAAATGATCAGCTGCCTCCACAGAAATGGATCTTAGGAATTCCTGCATTGTGAAATCTAGAGTACGGAGATCAGCCCAAGTAAAGGCAGGTTTGATTTGTTTTGGATACTTCGGGTTCCCCTTTGGAAAGCTTGGGTACGCTTAAGGATACAGCCCCAGGACATCATTGGGATGATGGGTCATTATCGTTTTGGTGAAGGGGGGTGAGCATCTAGTATCCTTTGGTGGTTAGGTATCCTCGGGGGTGGTGGGGTATGAGGTGACCTTTGGGATAGTTAACTGTGAAAACAATTGTGCGTAAATGATGCATAAAGTGTTCAACTTGTCAAGGTTTAGATTTTATTGCCACATGTACTCAAGTACACCACAGGAGTACCATGAACAGTGAACAATGTCATCACACACATCTTAAGTACAAAATAACAACTTACTAGGTACAAAAATGTTAGTTTACAAAGTAGCAAGAGAAACAGAGTTAAACAGAATAAATAGATAAGGAAATAAGGTAATAGTTAACATTAAAGTCTTTCTTAATTTAAACTGGAAATTAAAGGAATTAAGTTAAAAGTTCAGCAGTCTTTGATGAGTTCTCGGCCCATCTCGCTCTCTGGGAGATCTCAGCTGCCTGTTCTCGACGCCGCTGCTGCAGATACTGGGGGCCCTCCCTCTCCACTCACTCTTCCTGTGTTGGGCCGCACTGCCACGCTGCAACTGAAGATTTGTCAACAAATTTTGACCTGGCATGATACGTTTAGAAGTCTCAAAATGTGGGTGCTACCATTGAGCAGAAACTAAGGCTGGGCCAGCCATATAGACTATGACTACGAGAGTAGGTCAGAGTCTCGGAATTCTGTGGTGTCTCATTAGTTGACTCCCCAAAGCCTCCCCACCATCTACAAGGCACAAGTCAGGAGTATGATGGAATACTCTCCACTTGCCTGGATAGGCGCAGCCCCAACAACACTCAAGAAGCTTGACACCATCCAGCAGCCCATTTGATTGGCACCACACCCACAAACGTCCACTCCCTCCACCACTGACGCTCAGTAGCAGCAGTGTGTACTATCTACAAGACGCACTGCAGAAATTCACCAAAGATCCTTTGACACCAGCATTGAAACCCACAACCTTCACCATCGAGAAGGACAAGGGCAGCAGATTCTGGGAACACCACGTGCAAATTTGCCTCTAAACCACAAACTGTCCTGACTTAAGAAATATGTTGCTATTCCTTCACTGTCGCTGGGTCAAAATCCTGGAATTCCCTCAGCATTGTGGGTGTCCCTGCAGCTCAATGACTACAATAGTTTTAAGAAAGAGGTTAACCACTACCCTCTGAAGGACAATTAGGAATAGTCAATAATAGCCAATAATGACCATATCCCAAGAAGGAAATTAAAAAAATTCACAAGCATCTGAGACCCACATTACTCAAATTTCCATATCACAGCCTATTCTGCATTGAGAAAAGCATTGCAGGTCTTGCTTGCAGCTTGCTGTCATTGACCTTCTGGATGGGAGTGGTTGTGGGTTTCAATAGTACTATCAAAGGAGTCTTGGTGATTGTCGAAAAGCATCTTATAAATGCTACATGCTGCTGCCACTGTACCTCAGTGGTGGAGGGTGTCAATGTTGAAGGTGGATGGATGCCATTCAAGTGGGCTGCTTTGTCGTAGGTAGTGCCAATGCCTGTTGGAATTGCACCCATCCAGGATGCTCAATGAGTTAGCATGGTACATGATGGGGGTAAGGATGATGGGTGGAAGTTGGTGGAACGGTCCATGGGAGATGGATAGATGGGCATTGGGTGGGTCAGGTGGTGTGAAGGGCCATGGGCATGGGTACAAAACATAGTTTGGCATGGATGAGGAATATAGAACGAAGGGATGTGAGCACAATGGATGTTTTCTGTTTCAATCTTTCTTATGAAACTTTGAACACAGTGCCAGAGTCTTCAGGCCAGCTTTCTGATCAGCATTCCTTGGGAACGGGCACCTCTTAGGGTTTTGTATGGACATGTGGCCTGACTCCCAATTCTCGGAGTGAAAATCTAAATCTTCATCCTGTGGCGGGGTAGCTATTCCAATGCATTGAAGGCCCTTGAAATATGGATTGGCACCTTCTTTGGGAGGAAGTCAAAATGATGAAATAAAAATTTAAGTGACACGATGGATTCAAACTTTGGGTTTTTCTGTACAAGTCTTAGCATGATCTGTCACATCCCACAAGAAAAACTGTGAAGGAGATTGCACTCAGTAACATCAGTACTTTTTAAAGCCTAAGTCTGAAACATTCCACTGCAAACCACAGAAAAGACTTACATTTAATGATACCTTATAACATGAACCTCATGAAATTAATTACAATTGTTATGAAGGAGCAAATTTATATACAATGAAGTCCCACACGAAATGAGTTAAATAACCAGCTATCACCAATGAGTTTTGATAATGCAGGGAAAGGCATGATGGACCAAAAATCATTGGTGGTCTTTAGCTCAGAACTATAATTAATAGCACCACTCATACCTTACCTGATGCTGTTGTTGCCGACTTTAGTGTAGTCACCTACCTCACAAACTCCATCCCAAATTGTTTCGTCTGAAGGATAGTACCTCCAACAAATCAAGACTACCTCAGTGAAATGTTAGTCAATAATTTGTGCCAGAGGGGGACTTGAAACTGTAGTGATTGTAACGAGGTCAGCCAGGTCGACCTCATAAAATATGAGTTCCCTGATTGGGGCTGTTAATCTGGTTCAATCAGGGAGCCCTGGCTGACAGACAAGAACAGGAGTGTCAGACATTCTGTTCACTCTGAGAGCTGGATTAGTTCAAGGACTTTCCACATGTAAATAAAGGATGACTTGGTAACAGGGTACCGGCCTCTGTGGAGTTATTTCAGTGGTGATGAGAGTGAGATTAATGATGTAACCACGCAAAAGTGCCAACTAGCTGAAGCCCAAGTGGACTTCAAACAGGCACTACAACTGACTTTATCATTAGAAAATGTGACAAGTGGAACATATGAGTTGTAGGGGATTCTGATGGAAGTGGACCACCCTTAGCAGTCCGACTGAACTTGGGGAACAGCACTTGAGCGAAGGCAATTCCTTAGCTTCACTCAGCGCATATCCTGACCAGAGGGACTCTGGGTCAGCCCACAGCAAAACCCCAAAACAAAGCCAAGCCTCAGCCAAATGGTTAAAATTTTCTTCAGGATCTGGGCCAGCGAGCCGTTGTGGTTGCTACCGGTATGTGGACTCGAGACAGCAAAAGGGTCCCATTAGACCTAAATTGAGTAAGAGAACTCATAGGCCAGTATTGAGGAGAGTGTACACCCTGGAAAGCCCACCTACATCTGGTTTGGAATAGTTAAACTGCTTAGCAACATCCAAATCAGACCCAATCCAAATAAACGCCTTTTAAATGGTCAACCGGTTCTAATGGAGGTCAATAACTGGCGTGGACATTTCAGTGATTGCAGAACTAATCTTTAACAAAATTTGGTTCAGATTTCAACCCTTAAATTTGCGCAAGACCTCAGCTAGAGTGAGAACCTGTACCGGGGAACCTTTACAAATTAAGGGTACAATTTCAGTTCCAGTCTCTTATGACAAGCAGCTGGTTCAGTTACCACTGATTGTAGGAAAAGGCTCAGGCCCAAGCTCGATGGAGCAAAATTAGTTGAGAAAGATTAACCGAGATTGGTTCAACATTTTTCGATTAGAAAATGGCTGCCTGAGTGAAGTCCTAATGAAATACCCAGAAATTTTTCAGGAATGTCTAGGGACTATCAAAGGAGCCAAGGCTACCTTGCATATTGACCAGGAAGCAATTCCATGATTCTGCAAGGCCTGCCCAGTACCATTTGCCTTAAGGGCAAAAGGAAAGGCCAGAAATCAGAAGGCCGGAAAACGAAGGAATCATGAAATCAATCCATTGTGGAGTGGGCAGCACCGGTCGTACCAATTGTGAAACCCAATGGGTTGGTTCACCTTTGTGGGAATTTTAAACAAATGGTAAACCACGTTTTGCAGCTGGATAAATAACCAATATCTTGCATAGAGGCTTTATATGCAAAGCTGGCAGGGGGGCTGTCCTCCACAAAACTGGATATGAGCCATGCACACTTGCAATTACAGTTATCTGAGGATTCCCAGAAGTATGTTACAATTAATACCCATAAGGGTTTGCACCAATATATGAGACAGGCATTTGGGGTATCGTCAGCCTGTGCTATTTTTCAGTGGACAATAGAGAACATTTTACAAGGTGTACCCCAGGTCGCCATTTATCTAGATGATGTGCTAATGACATAAAAGGCCAAAATTGGAGCACTTAGAGATCTTGAACGTAGTCCACAGATGTTTTTCCCAGACATCCAGTTCACTCTGAGGGCTGGCTCTGAAGGAGCTGGATCAGTGTCAAGGACTCTCCACGTGTATATAAAAGGTGATTTGGAGACAGGATACCGGCCTCTGTGGAGTTATTACAGAACCCATGACTTTTCACCTCAAAATGGAGAATGCTAGCCACTGAGCCACAACTTACACTTGCACATCAAAGAGTACAATATTCACCTTGTCACTGATCATGTGTCTAGGTCAAATTTAGGTCCGGCTGTGTTCCTCCCTACTAATTACCCAATATTACAACATCAGCAGCTGAAACAGTAAACAGTCTGTGTCTGCCACATTGATGCGCCATTTGGAATAAAAAGGACAACTAAAACGAATTCTGCAGAATGTCACAATTTATATTTAACAAAATAATATATTTTATAATATATGCTTATTTGCCACACTAAGTACAGTTGCGCTATAATTCCACATTGTAAATTGTTTTCATTGGAATATTCTCATTTACATTTTCAGGCACAACATCAGTGTATAAGACTATAAAATGAACAGTCTTTTCATATGACAGCTTCCCTCCGTTGATCGTCAAGTGAAGATGAAGCAGACAGCAAAAGTGTAGAGAAAATCACTGAACTAAATCCAGAATTTCTAAATTGATCACAGTTTGCCTGCAAACAGCCTCTAATGGTAAGTGCAAATGGGCAGTGGAGTCAAGGACAAGGAGAAATCCTTAAGGTGAGACAAGAAGCGATAGCAACAGACCTAAAAATTGCAAAGTGAAAACGTCTCAGTCATCAGCAGTCAAAAAGTCAATTTAATCTTCGACAAGAAATGGCACCCACAGGTAGAATGAGATGGTCGACAATGTAAAAAAATAGTGTTTCACCAAACAGTGTTTGCTCCAGGAATCTAAATCTTCTGGTGACTATTGCAATGGATAGAGCTAGGCAATTTGTTTTTGGCTATACAGCACACTAAGGTGCTGCTTTGCTGGCAGTTAGTTATCAGTGGAACAGTTTGCTGCATCTTTCAGGTCACAGGCGTTCACATTCGCGTTTGACACACGTAGCTTGTCGTTCTGTCTTCCACCAGTCCCCATTCTGAGAGCAGTAGCATATGGTGCAGTCATCTACTTTGACTTCCTTCCCTGCTGGGATTATTGTGGAGCCTGCGAAACAGTTGGGACCTAAACAAAAAAAAAGGAAGCAGATGCACCAGGGCACAGAGTATTAGTAATAGGGACAACCATTACATCGCTAAATTAAAAACTGCAAATCTAAAGCATGAAATCCGAAACTGGAGATAAAAACTGGTGAGTCAACATCTGCATAAATGCCAGGCTGATGCTTCGGGTATGCAAAATATCACAGCCTGCCTCTTTACAGACATCCATCGTGCTTATCTCCAGATTCAGCAAATGCTTTCTCCCACTTGAAACACTTCTACATTCAAGATGCTTTCAGTAAAGTCATAAATACCTTAATATGGGTAATGAACTCAAAATACAGATATGGCTTATCTTTATAAACTGGTCTTTAACATATTTAGCAAATTTAATTAGATAGTGATTTAATGGTCTATTAAATTGAAACAGTTTAGTTTTAATCTCTCATTAGTTTATTCGTTATTCTGAATTCATTGTCATGTAGACATTTATCTAAACATCACAACTTGGTGTTTTGTTCACAGGCACATTTCATGTATAGACATTGATCCGAGTGCTGCTAAAATAGTTATGAATTATTTTAATTCATCATTCATAGTATGTGGGTTTTGCAGACTGGGCCAGCATTTACTGCCCATCCCTAATTATTTTTGAGAAGGTGTGGTGAGCTGCAGTCTATTGGAGGGGTAGATATACAAACAGTGCTGTTAGAAAAATAGTTCCAGCATTTTGACCCAGTGATAGTGAATGAATGGTGATATAGATACAAATCAGGTTGGTGTGTGACTTGGGGGGGGTGGGGTATCATACAGTACAGAAGAAGTTCTTAAGCCCATCGGGTCTGTATCCCCAAAAATTATGCTAAATCTACACTAGACTCACTTTCCAGCACTAGGCCCATAGCCTTGAATGTTTTGAAATTTCAAGTGCTCATCAAAATATTATTTAAAGGGTGCGAGGCTACCCACCTCAACTATCCTCCCATGCAGGACAGTCCAGGCCCTCGCCACACTCCGAGTGAATACCTTTTTCCTCAAATCCCCTCTAAACCTCCTTCTTTCCACACTAAAAGTGTGCCCCCTTGTTACTGACCCTTCAATTAAAAAGAATAGTTGCATTCTGTCCACCCTGTCCATGCCTCTCATAATCTTACATACCTCAATCAGGATCCCCCCCGCCCCAACCTTCTTTGCTCCAAAGTTGATCCAGTCCCTTTTCATACTAAAGAGCTCCATCCGAGGCAACATGCTGCGCGGGTCTTTCCACAAATGGGCACGGACAGCTTTCAGTATATCTGGTGCTAAGCTGTGTAACCATTAGTGATCAGTAGTGACCACTATTGGCTGGATGCTAGAGTCATACAGTCAAACCACACAGAAACAGACATGGAAACATAGAAAATAGGAGCCAGTGGAGGCCATTTGGCCCTTCGAGCCTGCTCCACCATTCATCACGATCACTGCTGATCGTCCAACTCAAGAGCCTAATCCTGCTTTCTCCCCATGACCTTTGATCCCATTCGCCCCCAAGTGCTATATCTAGCCGCCTCTTGAATATATTCAATGTTTTGGCATCAACTACTTCCTGTGGTAATGCAATTCCACAGGCTCACCACTCTTTGGGTAAAGAAATGTCTCCTCATCTCCGTCCTAAATGGTCTGCCCCAAATCCTCGTACTATGACCCCTGGTTCTGTACACACCCACCATCAGAAACATCCTCCCTGCATCTACCCTGTCTAGTCCTGTTAGAATTTTATAATTCTCTATGAGATTTCCCCCCCATTCGTCTGAACTCCAGTGGAAACAATCATAACCTAGTCAATCTCTCCACATACGTCAGACCTGCCATCCCTGAAATCAGCCTGGTAAACCTTCGCTGCACTCCCTCGAGAGCAAGAGCATCCTTCCTCAGAAAAGGAGACAAAACTGCACACAATATTCTAGATGTGGTCTCACCAAGGCTCTGTACAACTGCAGTAACACATCCCAGCTCCTGTACTCAAAACCTCTCGCAGTGAAGACCAACATACCATTTGCCTTCTTTACCGCCCGCTGCACTGCATGTTTACCTTCAGTGACTGGTGCACAAGGACACCCAGGTCTCACTGCACACTCCCCTCTCCCAATTTACAGCCAGTTAGGTAGTAAACTGCCTTCTTGTTTTTGCTTCCAAAGTGAATAACCTCACATTTATCCAGATTATACTGCATCTGCCATTGATTTGCCCACTCACCCAACCTGTTGAGATCATGCTGAAGGATCTCTGCATCCTTGTCACAGTTCACCCTCCCACCCAACTTGGTATGATTGCAAACTTTGAGATGTTACATTTTGTTCCCTCATCCAAGTCATTAATATATACTGTGAATAGCTGGGGTCCCAGCACCGATCCCTGTGGCACCCCTCTAGTTATTGCCTGCCAATTTGAAAAGGACCCATTAATTCCTACTCTTTGTTTTTTTTCTGCCAACCAGTTTTCTATCCAACTCAATACGCTTTCCCCAGTGCCATGCGCTTTAATCTTGCACAATAATCTCTTATGCGGGACTTTGTCAAATGCTTTCTGAAAGTCCAAATATACCATATCGACTAGCTCCCCTTGTCAACGCTGCTAGTTATATCTTCATAGAATTCCCCTTCATAAATCCATGCTGACCCCGTCTGATCCTGTCATTGCTTTCTAAATGCTCTGTTATAAAGTCCTTGATAATGGATTTGAGAATTTTCCCCACGACTGATGTTAGGCTTATTGGTCTATAATACCCCATTTTCTCTCTACCTCCCTTTTTGAATACTGGAGTGACATTAGCTACCTTCCAATCTGCAGGGACTGTTCCAGAGTCTATAGGATCCTGGAAGATGACCAATGCATCCAATATTTCTACAGCCACTTCCTTAAGTACTCTGGGATGTAGATTATCAGGCCGTAGGGATTTATCTGCCTTCAATCCCATTAATTTTCCCAGCACCATTTCTTTACTAACATTGGTCTCCCTCAATTCTTCCCGGTCATTAAATCTTGCATTCTCCAACATTTCTGGTATCTGATTTGTGTCCTCTTTTGTGAAGAAAGAACCGAAGTATGTACTTAGTTCCTCAACCATTTCTTTGTTTCTATTATACATTCCCCCATTTCTGTCTGTAGGGAACCTACATTTATCTTCACCAATCTCTTTCTCTTCATGTACCTGTAGAAAGTCTTAGCATCAGTCTTCATGTTCCCTGCAAGCTTACTTTCATACTGTATTTTACGCTTCTTAATCAATCCCTTGGTCATTCTTTGCTGAATTCCAAACTGCTCCCAATCCTCAGATTTATTATTTTTCGTGGCCAATCTGTCTGCTTCTTCCTTGGATCGGATATTATCTCTAATTTCCTTTGTAAGCCATGGATTGGCCCTCTTACCCATTTTGCTTTTGCAAAAGACAGGAATAAACAGTTGGTGCAGTTCCCCCACGCATTCCTTGAACGTTTGCCATTACCTATCCACTGTCAACCCTTTGAGTAACTCTCCCCAATCTGTCAAGGCCAACTCATGCCTCATATCTTCATAGTTTCCTTTACTAAGAATCAACACCCTAGTCTCCGAATCAACAACCTCACTCTCCATCTTGATAAAAAATTCTATCATATTATGGTCGCTCATCTCCAAGGGGTCTTGCACAGCTAGATTGGCAATGAATCCCTTCAAATTACGCAGTATCCAGTCTCAGTTGGCCTGCTCTCTAGTTGGTCCCAATAGTCCACATTGACCAAGTTTCTGAAACTAAAATAGTCCCATTTGCCTAAGTTAAGCCCATATCTCTGTAATTCTTTCCTCTTCATATACCTGTCCAAATATCTTTTAAATGTTGTAACTGTACCTGCATCTACCACTTCCTCTGACAATTTATTCCACATTCAAACAACCATCTGTGTGAAAAAGTTACACCTCAGGTCCCTTTTAAATCTTTCTCCACTCACCTTAAAAATATGCCCCCAAGTTTTGAACTCCCCACCCCAGGGGAAAAAAAGCCTTCGCTTATTCAACTCATCTATGCTCCTTATGATTTTATAAACCTCTCCAAAGTAACCCCTCAATCTCCTACAGTGAAAAATGTCTCAGCCTATCGGGGCTCTCCTTATAACTCAAACTCTCCAGTTCCTGCAACATCCTGGTGATTTTTTTTTCTGAACCCTCTCCAATTTAATAATGTCCTTTCTATAGGAGGGTGAACAGAACTGTACACAGTACTCCAAAAGTGGCCTCACCAACACCCATCCTGTACAACCTCAATATAACATCTCAACTCCCATACTCAATGATCTGACCAATGAAGGCAAGCATGCTAAATGCCTGCTTAACCACCCTGTCTACCTGTGACACAACTTTCAAAGAACTATGTACTTGAACCCCTAGGTCTCTTTGTTCAACAACACTCCTGGCCATTACTGTATAAGTCCTGTCCTTGTTCACTTTACCTCGCATTTATCCAAGTTGAACTCCATTTGCCAATCCTTAGCCCACTGGCCCAATCGATCAAGATCTCTTTGTAATTTTAGATAACCTTCTTCATTGATGGCTATACTACCAATTTTGATGTCATCTACAAACTTACTAACTATGCCTCCTAAATTCACATTCAAATTGTTTATATAAACGATAAACAACAGTGGACCCAGCACCGATGCCTGTAGAACACTCCTGGTAACAGGTCTCCACTCCAAAAACACAACCCTCCACCATCGTTCTCTGCATCCTACTGTCTGGCCAATTTTGTATCCAATTGTCAAGCCCTCCCTGAATCCCACATGATCTAACCCAGTTTACAATGCGGAACTTTGTCAAAGACTTAACTAAAGTCCATGTAGACAACATCTACTGCTCTGCCTTCATTGATCTTTTTGTTTATGTCCTCAGAAAACTCAATTGAATTTGTGAGAAACGATTTCCCATGCACAAAGCCATGCTGACTATCCCTAAAGTATGGAAGAAGTAGATGAAGATGGTGGGGCACTTTCCTGGCACTGACATTTGACC